CCACCAACTCATCGATATGCGGCAAGGGAAAGTCGTCCTTCAGACTAGCTCTGTTCAAATCCCTAAAATCCACGCATACCCTGATCCTGCCATCCTTCTTCGGTACCGGAACAATGTTGGCCAACCAAGTTGGGTATTCGGATACCAGCAGGAAACCTGCGTCAATTTGCTTGGTGACATCTTCCTTAATCTTGAGAGCCCAGTCCGGGCGGATCCTTCTGAGTTTTTGTTTAACGGGTTGGGCCTCGGGGTCAAAAAGGATCCGGTGCTGTAAAATCTCAGGATTGATTCCAGGCATGTTTTCGTAGGACCACGAGAAAACATCTTTGAAATCTTTTAATAAAGCGACTAAGCGCCCGCGTTCCTCCGAAGACAACGTGGACCCGATCTGGACCAGCCGCGGGTCCTCCTCAGTACCCACATTCACAGTAATGATTTCATCCACTAAGGGTTTAACAAATCTTTCCTGCTCTTGTTCAATTAAGCATTGCAAAACTGAAGGAATTTATTCCTCGCTGTTTTCATCAAAATTTTGAAAGTATGAGTTAATGCAATAAATCAAGGGCACAGAAAAATACTCAGAAACCACAGCCACATCATTCTCATTAAGAAAATCCAAATCGTCCGATTCCTCGGTTACAACAGACTCAAAAGAGAAAGAAAAAGATGACCTGGATAGGATTGTGGTATCCGGGTTATCACCCCCTGGAATACCAGACTCAGACTCAGTCGAGCTGGAACCTGATTCCGACTCAACAGATTCGGAGGAATCAGATTTCGGCTCACTACCTGACCTGGTGCTGCTTGAAAAAAATCCCTCTTCATACTGCCAAATGAGAGAGGGTGCGATAGATGCATCCAAAATGTTTGCTGGTAGGCCCGCAACCGTTTCATTCCCGATTATGGACACCGAGAAGTTATCCCCCATGCACTTCTGTTCGATCGGAGGATCTGAAAGTAGACAAGCCAGTGCTACCCCCATTTCACTTTCGGTGTCCTCAAGTTTCACTTTCTCGCTCTGCTCAGCCTCAGCTAATGGGTCCATCTACTCTTCGACAATGTCATCCCCGGATAACTGCAGATCAAAGAAGATCTCGAAACCTGGTATGCGCTTCCTCTTCGCGTTCAGCCACAGCTCTGGGAAGTCACAAAACAGAAAGTCCTCCCCCTTCCGGACGAAGCGTCCGTTTAGGGTACCCTGGATGGGCCGGTACATCAGCTCAAAAGGCTTCCCCGCCCGCTCGCTCTGGCTCTCCCAGCCATCTCCTTGCCTTTCCTTATCCAATCCTCTTTGGTGGGTAGATAACCCAAGCCAAAGGTATGTGGGTTGTGTGGCACTTCAGCCAATGCTGCGACGCCCTTCCGGCTACTCTTTCCTAATCCCATCCCAGGGATGTGTTGGAGTTTATTCATGAGGTATACTGATTGAGCACTGACATACAACCCCTCATTAACAGCCATGATGTTTTGCACAACCCGAGCCTCGGCTAAGGTAAAACCCGACATGAACACATCCTCCATATTGTGCTCAATTTCCAAAACTGGCGTAGATACTTCTGGCGGTGGATGGATTGATGAATTTCCAAAGACAATGGCTACTCCCTTCCCATGGGGCTATTTCACCATTTGATGCAAAGTGGACGACACTGCCTTCACCTGGTGCAGCCACGGCTGCCCCAAGAGCAGATTGAAAGTTGCAAGAACTTCTAAGACGTGAAAGTCTATTTCATGCTGTCCTGGCCCAACCTTGGTCTGAATTTTCACTGTCCCCATTACTTCTCTACCCGTATTGTCATACACCCGAATCACCTGGCCTGTCGGCACAAAGTCCGCAGTCTTTAAACCGATTGCATACGCAGTCCTTGCCGGGCACACATTGACGGTGGATCTGGTATCTACAAGAACCACCAGAATCCATTTGTTTCTACACTCCACAGAGATGTAGAGTGGCTTGTTATGGTTCGCACCCTCAGGTGGCAATTCTTTATCGGAGAAGGTCAACATCGGGGTAACTCCTCCTGGAAACACTAAGCCCACCAGTTGTTCGGGCGTGGTGTCTATCGAAAGCTTGGCCTTGTCCATGGCTGATAAGGCGGCTTGTCGATGCACTCGCGATGCCATAAGCAGTCCCCAAATGGAGTTGTCTGCCTGTATCTTTTTTAGCTACTTCAGTACAGCTTCTTCTTCGAGTTGCTTCTCTTTCTGTTTCTCTGCTTCCTTATCCTTCCCAGACGACTCTGGCTGATCTAGATGTGGGGGGCCTAAAATACCGTCCGCTTCTAGTCATGTGATCGACTTCGTCGATGTACCAGGTATCGTCTGGCTGGTTGCTCCCCCAATCCTTATCCGTGTGGGCAAGACATAGATCATCGTCCTCCCACCACATTCCGTCGACAGCCAACAGACACCTGTCTGGCTCCGGTACAATTATACTCGCAGTATTCTTCGTCCACATGCTCGCAGCATTCTCTGACCTCGTGCACACAGCACTTTCAATTCCCTCAGGGGCTTTAGCTTTCCTGATTCTCTCAGAGTCACCACATCTTTCTTGTTCCAACTGCATCAGTATAGCTGGCTGTTCAATAATTTCCGTATTCACGATGCCCAAGTCACTACAACAAATTTGGGATTTAAAGACAAAACAAATTTGTCCCAAAATGTATATATTTCGTCACCCAAACTAATTACGATGAACATTTTTCGTCACCCATTTTGTCTCCAAAGGGTCGTCGCTAAAGGGTCTTAGAGACGAAAAAAAAAATTCGTCATTGAAAATGATAAATTTGTGACGAATTTTTTTGTCTCCAATACACTTTGTTAGGAACATACTTTTAAGTAATTAGCGACAAAATATTTTGTCATTAAAGAAGAAATTAAAGACAAAAGTATTTCGTCATAAATATGAGAAATAGAGACGAAATAATTTTGTCACGTTTAATAAAAACGAAGACGAAAATTTTTTGTCAAAGAAGCTACCAATAGAGACAAAAACAAATTCATCATTAAAAATGACAAATTTGTGACGAATTTTTTTGTCTCCAATACTCTGTTGGGAACATACTTGCAAGTAATTAACGACAAAAGTATTTTGTCATAAATATAAGAAATAGAGACGAAATAATTTTGTCACGTTTAATATAAACGAAGACAAAAAAAAATTGTCAAAGAAGCTACCAATAGAGACAAAAACAAATTCATCATTAAAAATGATAAATTTGTGACGAATTTTTTTTGTCTCCAATACACTCTGTTGGGAACATACTTATAAGTAATTAGCGACAAAATATTTTGTCATTAAAGGAGAAATTAGAGACAAGTATTTTGTCATAAATATAAGAAATGGAGACAAAATAATTTTGTCACGTTTAATATAAACGAAGACGAATTTTTTTTCTTCAAAGAAGCTACCAATAGAGATAAAAACAAATTCATCATTAAAAATGATGAAATAATGTCAAAAAAAAATCGTCACACATTGAGGGTAATAGTGACAAAATGTGACAATATTTTTTGTCATGACAAATTCATTTAGCGACGAAATAAAGAATTTATGACAAAATTAATCATCCACCTAAGCCAAACAAGAGACAAAAAAACCTTCTTTAAGGATGAAAAATTTTGTCAATAATTTCATAATATTTTTTTCCACATTATATACCTATTTTATCAAAATCTAAATTTTAGTTCAACAAATATGACCATGTTCATGTTGAAACCTGTTGAATATAACAATTCCATCACAACTTAACCTAACATGTTATCAACACATTTACGAATTAACAAAATGAAAATATACATTCATCATTACAAATAATTTCATCATGATATAATAAAATAGTGAAATATCCACAAAATATCCAAAAGTTATAACTTGTTCAATTCCACCAAAAATCCAACAATAACTAGTGTAACTCCAAAAAGTATGTGTATCCTTATCAAACAAAAATGAACATTCAAACAAATTACATCATTGTTGCACGTCAAAAATGCCACCCCAATCCAATCTACATCCTCTTCGCCATGTACAATCTCCAGCACAGGCGTAGTGACCTCTGGCGGAGGATGCATAGATGAATTCCCAAAGACTATGGTCACCCCTTTTCCATGGGGGTACTTCAGCATTTGGTGGAGTGTGAAAGAGACAGCTCTTACTTGGTGTAGCCAAGGTCGCCCAAGCAATAAATTGAAAGTGCCTGGAACATCCAGGACATGAAATTCAATATCCTGTTGCGCGGGTCCAACCTGCACTCTGATTTGTATTGTTCCCATCACCTCTCTACTTGTATTGTCATACGCCCGGATCACCTGGGCTGGGCTGTAGGCACAAAATCAACCGGTTTCAAGCTAATAGTATAAGCTGTGTGGCATGGACATACATTAATTACTGAACCGGTGTTGACTAGTACAACTGGCACCCACTTTTCCCTGCACTCTACGGATATGTATAGAGGTTTGTTGTGTGTAAAGCCTTCTGGTGGCAATTCTTTGTCGGAAAAGGTCAAAGTTGGCGCAGCGCCTCTCGGGAAGACTAATCCCACCAGTTGTTTCGGGGTAGTGTCAACAGACAACTTTGCTTTATCCATCGCTGACAGTATAACTTGCCTATGCACGCGCGAAGCCATAAGCAATCCCCAGATAGATATGTCTGCTTGAATCTCCTTTAACTGTTTCAGCACAACCTCTTCCTCTAACAGTTTTTCCCTCTATTTCTCTACCTTATTTTCCTTCCCAGATGCCTCGGGTTGGTCCAGATTCGGGGCTTTGAAATATCGGCCACTTCTTGTCATGTGGTCAACTTTTTCCACATACTAGGTATTGTCAGGAATACCTTCACCCCAATCCTCATTAGCGTGGGCATGACACATGTCATCATCTTCCCACCACATACCTCCGACAATAGACAAGCAATTGTCTAGTTCCGGTATAAGTGTTCCCTCAGTAGTAACATTCTTCATGGGGTGTTGAGCTGTTCCAACTTTCTGATCACTTTCACTCATTTCCTACCCAAACCGCTCCAGCGCAGCTTCTTGTTCTGTATGTACGTGGCTAACAATACCCAATTCTTGAGTCAGTTGTTCTTTACCGGTGCTTTCCGATAGTTTACCCTTCCTATCAACTCTCGTCGTTTTCATCAAAATTTTGAAAATCATGATCAATACAATATACGAGTGGCACAGAGAAGTACTCAAAACTTGCAGTGGTATTCACATTCAAAAGGTCCAGCTCATCTAATTCCTCGGTTACAACCAACCCGAACATTTCTTTGTTTCGGTGCTTCCTTTGCCATTTCCACTTTTTGGGGTTTGTTCCCCTCGTTTTCCTCTGCACTAAAACAAACAGCTTACCAGTCCTAGTCAATATTTGGCCTCTATATGATGCCCAAAGGCGTAGTTTTTCTAGTTTGTCTTCTTCAAGTTCATCTGATCCTTTAAATTCTTCTTCATTGTCGTGCTTTACTCGCTCAAGAAAGTTGTTCCATTCATCTGCATGATCAATTTGATACCACCAAAAAAACAAAAAATGCTTGAAATGCCTCTTAAAAAAACACAATCCACCAATGTTGCCCATATGAAAATCTAACCAGGAAAAATTTTCTGCAGGTAAAAAGGGATGGAAACCCCATCTTCATTTTGCACTTCCAATTCACGCAGAGAGAAGAGCACCTCTTCCGTGTAGTAAGGCGTCAAAACACTAGGAGAAACATCGCCGCAACACATACAAAAGAAATTGATTATCAATAACATACGAGAAAAAGATTCATAATAGCAGATAATAGCATACAGCACCTAGTCTTTGTACAGAAGAAACATGCATTCTTACAGGGGCTTCAGAGGTTTCACTGCTAGGCCACACATTGTAGAAAATATTTAGGCCTCGTTTGGGTAGTTAATATTTTAGATTAAAAGTAAAAAAGCCACTAGAAAATCCAAGAAGCTAAAAAAATCTCAACTCATACAAAAACGTCAAAGATTTCTTTCAATTCACTCCACTTCTTGCATATCTTTTGGTAAGAAGTCAAAAAGTCATTCCCAAACATATTTTAGACAAAAAGTCACTTCCCGAACGACCCCTCAGTGCTTAGTTTTGAAAATTACAATAAGAGTACAAAATACAAACAAGTACACGACCAACAAATCAAGCATATATAGCACACATTCAAGGAAAACTAAGGTCACATGCAAAAGAACTCGAAAAACTTACGAGAAGGAAAGCATATTGCGGACTTTAGGTGCTGAAGGCATGTCCATAAACAATGAATTTGAGAAAAATGAAATGCGCCTTCGAGCTTCTAGGTTTGATGGTACGTCCATTGCAGCCTCCTTCACTGCAAGCAATAGATCGAGCCGTTTGATCTGCAGAAATGCATCAAAGTTAACAGGTACTACTTTTATTTTATTTTTTTTGGAGAGGGGGAGGGGGGAGACAGGAGGACGAATCAATAGGTAAATAGTTTGGAATTAAAATTTGTCATTATGATATCACCAATCACCTTCTTTTTCCAAACTTCTGTTTCTTGAACCGAAAAATTTATTGCTCCAGCAGATGCGAATAATTGATATTCAAGGGGGACCATCCCCTCATGTCCTGATCCACCATGGATAGAATCTACCAAGCTGTTGAAGAAAAAATGTAACCAACATCAGATGGCATCAAGTCACTAGTATAAAATCAGGAGCAATCACATCAAAATGCTTCACCTATTTATATGATCTTCCATCATTATGTCTCTTGTCACAACCTCCGGCATGTCTTGGAAAAGAATCACAACCTGATCCCTGTCTGTCTACTTATTCTCTAACTGCAGAAATGAAACTAAATCAGTGTGAACACTTCATAAATCCCATTAACGAGTCACATAAAACAACTGCCATGACATTGCAAATACATACCAAGAACTTGATAAGCTTGACGAAGTGGTCATAGAGGCTAGGAAGACCACCCATATTGTATTCAGTTAATAGCTTGCCTTCTTCTATATGTTTGTCAACCTCAGTCAATATATATTCTATAACCCTGGAAAGGCCATTTGGACAAATAAAGCATTATGATATAACAAAGCATCAATATGTACTATGTATATCCATTTCTCAATCAAAATTATAAGAATGTAATAAAACTTACTCTTTTTCGCGACCACCCTGAACCAAAATCTTAATAATGTTTTGAAATGAAGCATAGCACTCACGAACAGCACAAGACATGGTCGTCAGCTTCAATCCTCTTTTTCAATTCTCTATCCTTTCCATTGCTGTCCTTAGCCATGTCCAACGCTATTGGGATCTAGCCAAAAGACATATATAGTTATCAGAAAATTATGTTAAATCGTGTTACCCTTGAGACAAAGTTTAGTATGTTCTCAAAGATTCCATCACAACTACTATGACCAGAGACTTGCACGTTGCTTCCATCCACTGATCATCAGAGAATAAGTTTATTAAGTGAATCAGAAAGCAGCTACTCCAGACCTTCTGCAAAAAAAATTCCCTATATTTGCAAGCCAATCCAATGATACACTTGCCTGTCCCTGTAGAATTTCTCTACTTCGAATGATCAAAATTATTCTCAAACATGTTTTTAAAACGCAACCGTAACCATACATAATGGTTTCAATGGTTACCACCACCCGTTATGGCCGCTATAGCGGTGTGATAGAAATTCACAGCCGTAACAGCCACCACTGTTATGTAAAGGCCGTAGTCCCCGTTACAAAACCATTACGACCGTTGCGTTTTTTTTTTTTATATTATAAATTTTGTATTAGGCTATTTTTCTCTATTTTCTTTTTTTAGCTGTTAAATTCGCACCCCAAAAATAAATAAATAAATAAAACTTTAGCAAAAGTCTTAGATTGACATGTTTTGAATGTCTAATTTTCAAGTTCTACAAGACTTGAGTTGCTCTCAAGGTTAAAATGACCTTACTTCTCTCTGTCTTTTTCTTTTTTCAAACTTTCATTACTTTTTTTTTATTGACAAGCTTTCATTATTTTCTCAATTGATTCTTTGAATATTAACTTAAATCTATTTGCTCTTAGGTCAAATTTATTGAAAAAATAAATAAATAAATAAAATTGGATATCATGTTATATACTATTACAATACTTCCATTTTCGCAACACTTCCAATTGGGAATTTCGCAACACTTCCATTTTAAACAAATTTGAACCATGTGACAAACCTTGCTAGCAAGCAAAAATGGAGGCCATTGTATGTGGTCCACCTCACGGTCAGCCCAATATGGAACAAGCAACAGGTCCATTTCCCTAGAAATGATACAAAGTTATACATACTATAGCAGAATACAATAAGAATCAGAAGAAAAAAAAAAAAATTTCTCAACACATGTTAGGACACAAAAAAAGGTTAGATCGTAGGAGTCAAACAACATAAAAAAAATAGGTGTGTATTATTGTGCAAAGTTTCAGACCCATGATTACCTATCACTTATAAGATCCTCTCTCTAAAACTGCTGATTATTGTGTTCCATAACTGAGCAAATCTTGCTGCTGCTTTTTCATTGCTTGATGGGATCTGAAAAAATTTATTAGATAAATAAAATTGAAGGAAAGGAATTTCCATATTTTCTAGAGAGTAGCAAATGAAATAACCTGAGCAAAGTTCCGAGAAAAAGTGGACTTCAGTAGTCCTTTCTTTTTTGTTGGCTCACTCTTTTCCACCGGAATTAAACAGGCATTAAAAGCAGCAGGCAATGATTGAAATTTGGACCTTAGCATTCCTAAAGTTCGAATCTGCAAGCAATAGAGGTTACGGAAATGGAGATGCGTTGAAGTGATGGTAAATAAAATTGAAGAAACCCCATACATCATAAAGCTTCAAATAAGTAAAGAACAATAAAGAGACTCAAACTACAAAACCATAAATCATGCTTAAGCAAATCCATAGACTGCTGTTTAATATTATGCATACTAATGATTAAAAGAAATTCAACAATGTTTTTGCCCCAAATGTCCTCACGTGGACATGCAGATATGAGCTTGTGATAAATCACATTCATAAAAACACGTGTATATCCTTATTAGTTGTTTTTTGGTTTGGCCTGTGCAGTTTCACTCACAAACCTGCATATATATATATATAGTTGAATTACAATTTTAGATTTTGGAAAATAAAATCATGTTAATTTTAAAAACATGTATCTCTCATTGTATTTACACATCAAAGCTTCTTGATACCTATTAGCTATAGCCAATTATCTTGTTCTTCTCAACACAAAGCACAATTATCTTCATCCTTACACATTCAAATATTGCAAAGGTTGTCCATAATAACCCAAAACAACACCAGCCCATCACCAATATGGGCATCCTTCTATAAACATCTTTACACTTCCTGCAAATGGAGAAACTATTATACTCTGTACCTTCATTCTTAAAGTGTAGCTAACACATCTGGAACCAAAAAAAAAAAAAAAAACCAATTTTGGATATATATACTTATATAATATATATTGGGGGACATATTGTTAATTCTCATTTTAAATCACTAACAGAAGTAACATAACTCATTGGACTCTCCCACAGATTGGAACCAATTTAAGTACCCTTATTCAAGTGTGCAACTAAAAGTGCCCATATTCAGGTGTTCAACTAAACTAAATCATGTATTCTTCACAAAACTAGGATTTGTGTCTTCCTCTGACCTTACTTCAGCACAATTTGAGTAAAATTCTGGCTTTATAGGTTACTAACTAGAGGGAAAAATTCTGGCTTTATATGTTACTAACTATAGGTTACTAACTATAGACTACAGTTAACAAAGGAAAAAATTCTGGCTTTATAGGTTACGAAGTTGTAAGTATAAACACTAAGAACATAGAGCTTGAAACAAAAGTAATTTATTAGTCAATATTTCCATTGAAGAGATTTAACTTTTTGTCTCCAAAATGAAGAGAGTGCTGCCACTGTACATGTCAAGTCCAGTTTGAAGAATTTTAATGTCACACCCCAAGTAACCTACTGGCCAAACAAATTGAACAGAATGGGTATACCAAGTTACAAATATCAACTGTTCCAAATCATTGGTATATTTAAAAAAAAAAAAAAAACCACAAAAAAAATAAATGAAAATAAAAACAAGAGTCGAAGATCACAGCCGAAGATCAAGCGTCGGCCTCTTCGTCCATGGCGGTGGGTTGGGTTGTGGTTCAACCGAAAATCAAAGCTTCAGCTTCTCCTCTCTTCCTCCTCTCTTTCTCTCACAGATATCAATACAAGTACTTAAACTTCAACAATGAAAGCATAAAAGCCTCTTAAACAAAGCATACCTTAGACCCATAAGGGTGCCTTACTTTTATAATGATCAATGTCCAACTTCCCCTAGAAGTCTTACTTCATGGGACTCTATCCTTTACCACCTTCAATAACAGTAGATCCACTATTTTTGACGAGTTCAGAATTTTATGAACCTTCAACCAGTTGAAAAGTAGAAAAAATATTTTATCACGGTACAGAGAGTTCAATAGGCTTTGCTTATAAACATGTATTTTTGTCATAATTTACTTCTTTGCCATAATTTTTGTGTGATATTCTAGAAGCATACAACTCAATATCTTATTATAAAATTTGAAAAGAAACAAAGGTACAAGTAATGCCAAACAAGCTGATAATTCATAATTCAAAATCAATGACTACCTCCTGGCAGCAAATGTAAGAATCCGTTGTCGAGACCGACCCTCCTCATCAGTGCCAATCACACTATTGATCAATTCCATTGAAGCATTGTTCTGGTTTACATGTTGCTGTTGTTGTGTACTCTCTCGACTGGAACAATTCAAATGCATGAAAATGAAATGATAAGCATTTGTTTATGAGATAACCACATTGACTAAAAAGCACGGGCACAGACACAAACACTGATAACACTACTTTAACATGAAAAAAACACCCAGATTTTACATCCCAAGAACTAAGTATGAACAAGCATATATGAGGGGAAAAAAAATAAGTATGAACTAAACAGGGGTCAGATTACAGACACAAGAAGTGAACAGGATGAAATGCCCAGCCTTATGATCATTCTCTTCTTTTCTTTTCCTTTTTTCATATCCCACCCACTTGTTTTCAAATTACTGCATCACTCTACCAAACCACCTTTCCAGAATTATAATAAATCCCAAAACATGTTCTGTGGTGTGTCCAGAAATAGGACATGTGTCCTTGACGTGTCCTCCAACATGTCCACTAAAAAAATTAATATAAATGCCACATGGCATGTCCGACACATGTCTGAGTGGTGTCTTGTCCGACATGTGTTGCACACTACGACGGCAACAAAAATGGAGTGTTTCATAGCATATAGAAATGAGAGCACACTATAGTGGGTTATTTTTAATATAAATTATAGACGATAGAAAACACCTCTTCAAAGCTATTTGCGAGTGTATATGTTAGGATATATACATGAGTATTACCAATACATGAATGCGAGTATTACTGAACAAGGTATATAAAATATTGCAACAAAAGAAAAAAAGAAACTTGACAGAATACTAATTGTTTGCAATCAATGCGACTTGAGTTTTTACTTTCTTGACACCAAAATAAATTTTCAAGGAAAAATAAATCCAAGTCAGCATGAAAAACAAATTAATGCAGATGAAACAAAGGCAGAGCATCTTAGTTGAAAAAAGCCACGAGAATGATCATAATGCAGGATATTTCATCTTTGATGAGAAAGTGCGGAGTGTTATAGGCGGGGTCCCAAGGGACACCTTTTTCCTATCTGTCAACTCCCCAGTGCTTATGTTCAATAAAAAGTGATGACCATCTCCAAGGGCACATAGCAAATAAGATATCTGAAAAGAAATCAAGCATTGGGAGCATGAAGTAAGGATAAACTGCGTAGATATATTTTACAATTAACATGTTAACGAAAGTGGCACACGCTCAGTTCCAAAGCCATCCATCCAGCTTCATTTTTTAGGAATCTAAATGCCAAATTGGTCCACATTATTATGGTTCAAAACAATGCTAAAACAAAAGGGATCAAAGATTCAAAAATTTAAGTGGTTTATAATGGAAGACCAAGTCTAGAACGTGTGCCATTTGCATATATTGCAGTTGTAGAGCATTCTGAATCTATAATAGAAAATCCTACATTCCCTATCACAAACAATCTGCATGCATGCAAATTAAGATAAATACAAAACACAAAGGCCCATAAAGCTTATGAATAAAGCATACCCCTTCAAACGAACATAAAAGAACAGAGCGTGGTATAATCTCTCCCCCCAAATTTTCCTTTGTAATGAGATTCAAGTCAGGTAGAGAAAATATTCTAACACATATCAGTCCACATTCCCACCGCAGCTAGCTGACTGTAGTTGGGATTTTCACCAATGGGATTTATAGCAAGGCATGATATATCATACTCCAATTGTGCATGTTTCACTTCTGTCGATATCCCATCACCAATTTCTAGGTACACTAAATGACCACCACCAGTAGCCAATAAAACCTGTTAAGAGAAAACGTACAATGAGAGGTCAAAGCTTGTAACATAACACTATATTGGATTAAGAGAAACTAATCATAAAGACAAAATGCTATGTCAACAATATAAAAAAGGATTCACTGTAGAGATCACAATCACAAATTCATGCTCTTGAAAACATTTAACATGTTCAAAGCGTTGTCAAGCTATTAAGCCTCAACTGCCAACCACCAAGAATAAGTACAGAGGAATAAAAACGTATAGACTATATGGGAATTACACAGACGAGACAATCTCTAGAAAGTACACAAAATAATGCATTCGAAACCTCTACATCCCTCCATGAGTAATGGCATCTAGACTTTGAAACATAGAAGCTTAAGGAGTAAAAACAAAAAAGTAATAAATGATAACTAGTATCCATGTTAAGCTAGATTACCTCTCCTTAAATGAGAAAAACCTTGGTCAGCATCTTCAGTGGATTTTAGCATAGTTGGCTCTCCAGTCAAGTAGGAGACTACAGTTAACAAAGGAAAAAATAATAATAACTAGCAGATATAAGTGAAAAGAAAAGGTTGAGAACTAGAGACATTAACAACCCTTAACCCAACAAGTGATGATGTGAGACAAAATTAAATCATATGCAGAGATAACAAAAATAATATTTTTGATAATAAGATGCCAAGACAGTTACAATCTTCCCATGCCTTTGTTTCAATTTTAGTACTCTATATGCTTTGCCTACTTAAACATGGGAAGATAGAGAAAGAGAAAGGGGGGAAGTTTTCTGGATGATTTATTTAATTATAAACCTCGTTTAACTACGTAGACAAGGATTCAACGAACCTCTCGCATTTCCAAATCTTGTTCCCAATTTGTAACACCCTACACCATTCTTTGAAATTTATATCCCAAATTGAGTCTCATCATCAAAACCACCCAGCACAATAACATTCACACAACCAGGATTTGTGTCTTCCTTGGACCTTACTTCAGCACAATTTGAGTAAAATTCTGGCCTTATAGGTTACTAACTAGAGGGACTCGTAATCTCAGTTGGCCAAGTTTTTGGATTTTCACCTTCAAACTTAAAATTCATAAGCACTTCATGAATATTTACATAATTTATATAGTTCAAAACCAAGATTGGATATAGCAATGAATAAGACTATTATCATTCTCAAATCTTGTAACATGTTATTCATCAAATTCTACATAGTGAAAGACATTTTAAGGTGAGAAATCATATAGCACTATGATTCTAGAACTCCTAGAACTCCTCCCATCCAACACAACAACACTGATTTTATCCACAAAAGTGTACCAAAAAAATGAAAACTGTTCTACCCCCTATCTGACACCAACAGCACTATGATTCTATTCATGAAAAAACCAAGAGGGTATACAAAAGGGTATATATACCCCTCTCTGACACCTACAAACTCAAATAGCACTATGATTCTGTTTTACTCAGTGTATAAAATTTCTAGTTCTAGAAAAAAAAAAAAAAAAAAAGGTCAGTCTTATATTCAACATCTCTGTAACTTTGAGCATATTGTACCCAATCGGGCCTCTTTAAAATGTTCTTCAGATGATGAGAGCCGCATGAGAGAAAAGAACCAAGAGGGTCTCAATCTTTACAATAAATAACAATAACCCAGAACACTTTTCAATTTTCTTGACACAAACAGCAGTTACAGAACGAGTAGATAGAGACAGTAGTAGAAGAAGTGAAAATAGACAAACGTAGATTCGAAACAGAAATTGAGAGACAGAAGTAGGGGAAATGAGATGCAAAGCAAAAAGGGAACAAACCTATGCGGGTGTGCGATTGTGAGGGGGGAGAGAACTACGAATTGAGAGAGAATCCTGTGCAAGAGTGAAAATCGTGCAAATTGATGAGGGCATTTACCTATCCTGGAAATAAAAAATAAAAAAATAAAAAAAAGAGGGAATTTTGGGAGGGAAATTTCCACCGCCTCATATGATTTTATTGCCTCTTTTTTAAAACAGTTTTTAGGCAAGTTTCTTCATTTTTTATTGCCTTTCTCGAATTCTCAATAGTCATTGAAACAAAAGTCAAAATTCAAATCAACGTTCTGATTTTATTTTATTTTTAATGGAATTAATTTCCAAAAATACAATGATTTTCTGTTAGCATAATATCTTTCTATTTAGAATTCTCACCTTCTTTATTAAACAGGACATCTATAAATAGGCCTTGATTGCCCTAATATTGTTTGTCAATGAGAGTTGTTTAAATCCAACTTGTGGGAGATAAATGGGGTCTGATTTTTCTAAACCAATGCACCATGGTTTGAGATGCTAGATAACGTCTCTAAACGAACTATATGCTAGTTTCTAATACACACAAAGAGAGTTCAATGGTAAATGTGCCCACGAAGCTGTAAGTATAAACACTAAGAACATAGAGCTTGAAATAAAAGTAATTTATTAGTCAATATTTCCATTGAAGAGATTTAACTTTTTGTCTCCAAAATGAAGAGAGTGCTGCCACTGTACATGTCAAGTCCAGTTTGAAGAATTTTAATGTCACACCCCAAGTGACCTACTAGCCAAACAAATTGAACAGAGTGGGTATACCAAGTTACCAACATGGCCCAAAAGCTTAAGCCCAAGTAATATACCAAATTAAGGTTTCATATTATAAAGAGGAAGAAGAAGAAGAAGCGACAGAGAAAAGCCGAAAAGAAAGAAAACGGTATGCCGATGTATCTTTCCAAAAAGA